TATATATATATATATATATTCAGATATATATATTCACACAATGAACAAATTTCCATCTAGTAAAGCCAAACCATTGCAGAATTGATGCCTTGTCTCCACCTAGTGGTCATATCAAGCTACTACATGTTGATTTTATTTCAATCCCACCTTGATGTTTTGTGTAGTGTTTTATTTTAAACTTCCACTCATCCATTATCTTTACCCACTTCTTCCTTTTTGGGTTGCGGGGTTCACAGATGCCCATGTCCAGCCATCACTGTGCGAGAGGCAGGGGACACCCTGGACAGGTCTCCATTCCATCACATGGACACAGAGACAAACAAGACAAACGACCATTCACTCTCACTCACACCTAGAGACAATTTAGAGTTACCAGTCAGCCTAACATACATGTTTTTGGTCTGTGGGAGGAAACTGGAGTGCCCGGAGAAAACCCACACATGCACGGAGAAAACATGCAAACTCCACACAGAACCACCACCCCCCACCCCCCATCCCCCAGCTGGGATTTGATACCAGACAACCTGCTCACTGAGAGGCAGCAGCTCTACCAACTGATCCACCATGCCGCTCTATTTTAAACTTTAAAAGTAAATCGATCCCAGAGCTTTACTGAATTATATCCATCCATCCATTATCTTTTACCACTTCTTCCATTTTGGGTCACGGGGGTCGCCAGTGCCCATGTCCAGCAATCACTGTGCGAGGGGCGGGGTACACCCTGGACAGGTCACACGTCCATCACATAGACAGTGAATTATATACTTAAACATTTTGTTTTGGGAGAGTGGTGGTGCAGAGGTTAGAGAAGGTGGGCCTGTGAGCAGAAGATTACTGGTTCAACTCCCGGTACCGACAACATCAAAATGTGGGTGGGAAAGGTGAAACACACCCACCTGCCTCCACCCTCATTTGCCCCACTCTGAGCCCTTGAGCAAGACCCTTAACCCCCACCATCTGCTCCCCAGATGTCCTAGATAGCAGCTCTCTGCTCCACACAGAGGGCTGTGGTAGCTCAGTGATCTGTATTTGGGTCAGGAAGAACACCTGGTGTAAAATAATCACCAAGTGTTCGTACGACAGTTCGCTGTGGTGATTCCTGAAGAAGGGAGCAGCTGAAAGAAGAAAAATATATAAATTAAACATTTATTTTTAAGGAGAATCAAATTTATTTATTTATTTCTTCCTTCGGCTGCTCCCTTCTTCAGGGGTCGCCACAGCGAAGTAAGTCGCACAAAAACTTGGCAGTTATTTTTTACGCTGGATGTCCTTCCTGACACGACCACAGACACCGAGCTACCACAGCCCTCTGTGTGGAGCAGAGAGCTGCCATCTAGGACACCTGGAGGAGCAGATGGTGGGGGTTAAGGGCCTTGCTCAAGGGTCCAGAGTGGGACGAATGAGGGTGGGGGCAGGTGTGGGTGCTTCACCTACCCCACCCACATTTTTGATGTTGTTGGTACCGGGGCTTGAACCAGCGATCTTCCGATCATAGGCCCACCTTCTCTAACCTCTGCGCCACCACTTTAAGGAGAATCAGATATTGTTTTAAAATCTAAAACAATCCTCCGTGTGTGTTTTAGATGTTGTTACAGCAGCCTATCCACAACGACTTCAGCCAAGCCCAGCAGCAGCAGCAGCCTCAGCAGCAGGGCCCAGGAAGGCCGGCCCAGCAGAACCAGTCGGGGGTCATCAGGCAGCTCTCAGGACAACCCAAAGCATCGGCCTGCGGCGCTCACAGCTCATCCCCCCAGTCTGTCCTGAGAGAAAACAGCTCCCCATCAACGCAGGTATGAGGCCGTGCGAGAGAAAAATGTCAACACAAAAGTCAGTTTCTTCTTCTAAAAATTAATCATGTTAAAATTTTCGTGTTTGTTTCAAAGTAAAACTGGATTTATTTGTGCATTTTTCTGGTTTTCGTCAGGTTATTAGTCGGAGCAGGCAGTCGGTGAGTTTGCCCGTGCAGACAAACACGAGCCTGACGACGCCCTTCTACAGCAACCCCATGATGTTCTCCCAGACCAACACCAGGCCTCAGCAGAACCCAAACCAAAGACAAAGCAACAACCAGTTCAGTCAGGACGGATCGTTACGGTGAGAGCCCTGAAGAACACGCTGCAGCTAAACCCCGTTAGCCTCAGTGTAACTCAGTCTGTTGCCTGCAGAATGCTCCTGAACCAGCAGATGCAGACACTGGTTCCTACGAGCAGCGTCACCTCCCAGCCCTCCCAGTGCAACATGGGAATCTCCCAAACTCTGTACGCAGACGACACACACACACAGTCTGTCTCTTGCACTTTCTTCCACTGTCCCTGAGCTTTTTGTTGCCCCGGCATCTCAGATACAGCCTGGAGCAGCCGATCATCGCCCCGTCCTTCACCATGCAACAGGTCAACTGCAACGCCGTTCTGGTGCCCTCCCCCGTCTTCACGTCCCCCATAATGATCCCGCACAACACCTTCATCTCACACCAGTCCCAGTCAGCCTACCACACTCAGCCTCAGGCCTCGCAGCACTCTGTGCAGCCACAGCAGTTCTTTCAGGTACCGCGCACACAGCGCCACTTTTTAACTTCTCCACATATCAGTTTGGATCTTTATGCTCCGTTTTGTTCCCACAGATGACTCAAGGACTCGTCCACGGTGGATCGACTCCAGCTTTATTCCACACCACTAATGTCCCGCAGCAAAACACGGTGGGATACATTCAGCAGCAGCCACAAGCGCAGCAGCAGCAGCAGCCGCAGCAGCAAAGACAGTACCAACATTCCCAAAACCAGACAGGCAGTGTTTCAGAGTTCCAGAACATGCTGACTCGGTAGCACTGAGGACTTGTGGGAGCGCTGAGACCTGCCTCTGCGGCGACGTGGCACTCGGAAACCAGACTTGATGGTGAGTTCAGAGGGAGCCGGCCTCACACGGGCTGAACTGACCCGACGTCCCCCACAGGATCTGAAGAGCTCGAAGAGCTCGAGAAGCTCGTTCTGCGTCAAGGGTCTCCTCGCACTCACTGAGCCCGCCAGAACACGAGGACGATCCAAGCTCTTAAAAAGATGCTTTCACTTGTCCACTTGAAGTGGTTTTTTTTTTGTAAGATTCTTTATTTTAATTGTCTGTTTGCACTTTGCTGACGTCCCCTACCTAAAAGTAAATATTTATTTTTATCCCAGGTTTTAATTTTCTGTCGAAGACGTGAAGGTGAAATTCATTAAAGGCAGGATTTTATTTTCTCCTCCAAAGAAAATGGTTCCCTAACAGTAATTAAAGCATGTTGATGTGGAGCTTCTACAGAGACTCTTTACTGTGAGATCAAGAGTTCAGGATATAAAACACGTTTTGTGGAAGGTCTGGAAGATTTTTAAAGCCTCAATCTGGGACTGAAGGAGTGGGGTACCCGTCCCCAAAACCTGGATCAGAACGGGCTCTGAAGTTTTATCTGTTGCTTCTGATGAGCTGTGATCAAAACAGCTTTGTGAGAGGAGGACGAGGGGTAGATTTGTGCCTTCAACCGTGATGCGTTCATGGTCCGGCTCGATGGTTTCGTCTGATTACGGCTTTAAAAATCCAGCTCAGGTCCATTTGAAAGAGAAAGGTATATTTTCACAAGAGTCTTATTTTCTGCATCGTGTAGATTTGTATCAGCCGTAATGCAAATATATAAATATATACATTTATTATGCCCCGCGACCCGAAAAGGAAGAATCAGGTAAAAGATAATGGATGGATGGATATATTATGTTTTTGTATACGTTCAGTACTTTCTGATAAGTGTCTGTAGTAATACTCACACCCTTAAGAGTTACTCAGCTGGGTGCTTCAATCTTATATTTATTTATGACGTACTTCAAAAGAAAGACTTGTTTTATACACACATACAGGTGCTGGTCATAAAATTAGAACATCATGAAAAAGGTGATTTATTTCAGTAAATTATTCAAAAAGTGAAACATGTATATTATATTCATTCATTACACACAGACCAATATATTTAAAATGTTTATTTCTTTTAATGTTGATGATTATAACTGACAACTAATGGAAACCCCAAATTCAGTATCTCAGAAAATAAAGACCAATAAAATAAAATTATTTTTAGAAATGTTGGCCAACTGAAAAGTATGAACATGAAAAGTATGAACATGTGCAGCACTCAGTACTTAGTTGTTGCTCCTTTTGCCTGGATTACTGCATCAATGTGGTGTGACATGGAGTCGATCAGTCTGTGGCACTGCTCAGGTGTTATGAGAGCACAGGTTGCTCTGATAGTGGCCTTCTGCTCTTCTGAATTGTTGGGTCTGATGTATCACATCTTCCTCTTCACATCACTCCATAGATTCTCTATGGGGTTAAGGTCAGGGGAGTTTGCTGGTCAGTTAAGAACAGGGATACCATGGTCCTTAAACCAGGTACTGGTAGCTTTGGCACTGTGTGCAGGTGCCAAGTTCTGTTGGAAAATGAAATCTGCATCTCCATAAAGTTGGTCAGCAGCAGGAAGCATGAAGTGCTCTAAAACTTCCAGGTAGATGCTGTGTTGACCTTGGACCTCAGAAAACATAGTGGACCAACACCAGCAGATGACATGGCACCACAAACCATCACTGACTGTGGAAACTTGACACTGGACCTCAAGCAACATGGATTCTGTGCCTCTCCTCTCTTCCTCCAGACTCTGAGACCTTGATTTCCAAAGGAAATGCAAAAAATTATTTAATCAGAGAACATAACTTTGGACCACTCAGCAGCAGTTCTAGGTGAGACATTTCTGACACGGTCTCTTGTTCAAAAGTGGCTTGACGCAAGGAATGTGACAACTGAAACCCATGTCATGCATACGTCTGTGCGTGGTGGTTCTTGAAGCAATGACTCCAGCTGCAGTCCACTCTTTGTGAATCTCCCCCACATTTTGGAATAGGTTTTGTTTCACAATCCTCTCCAGGGTGCAGTTATCCCTATTGTTTGTTCACTTTTTTTTTACCACATCGTTTCCTTCCCTTCACCTCTCTATTAATGTGCTTGGACACAGAGCTCTATGAACAGCCAGCCTCTTTAGCAATGAACTTTTGTGTCTTGCCCTCCTTGTGCAAGGTGTCAATGGTCGTCTTGTAGACATCTGTCAAGTCAGCAGTCTTCCCCATGATTGTGTAGCCTACAGAACTAGACAGAGACCATTTAAAGGCCTTTGCAAGTGTTTTGAGTGAATTATCTGATTAGAGTGTGGCACCAGGTGTCTTCAATATTGAACCTTTTCACAATATTCTAATTTTCTGAGATACTGAATTTGGGGTTTTCATTAGTAGCCAGTTATAATCAACATTAAAAAATATAAACATTTGAAATAAATCACAGTGTGTGTAATGAATGAATATAATATACAAGTTTCACTTTTTGAATGGAATTACTGAAATAAACCAACTTTTTCATGATATTCTAAATTTACGACCAGCACCTGTACGTAGTTTTTTTAAAGACACTGAAAAGTCAGCACTGATCCTGGTGTCCCGTCCCACTTAACCCCCTCTGATCTGCACCTCACTGAAAGTTTTGTCCACATTTTGGTCGGTCTCGTTGCTGGTTTGGTGCTCATTTATAAGACAAGTCGAACATTTTTACAAATCTTTGATGTTTTTTCCACCAAACACTTGACTCAGATGTTTTTTATAATTCAGGCAGTCACATCTGTCACCAGGTTGTGTGACTTTTTGAAATTTCTCTGACAATCTGACAGCCTGTCTTGGTTTGATAAAAGAAACAAGGTTCCCCTTATTGTTCTGCACTTCTTCCTTTACGAGATAAACTATGTACACCAGTAAGGTTGGAGTTATTTATGGTGATAAAAGAGGGACAGAAAAGAAGATTAAAGTGATTAGCAGCTTAACCCGAGAGGGAAAAGACCAAATGTGCATCATAACTTTAGACAATCAGCAAACAAACACAACCTGCCCCACAGTTTGCACTGACTCTAAATTAAACGTTTTGAAACACGTCGCCCGCTGGATTCAGGAGGGACAGAAGCAGCCGGAGATGCTCGACAGAAACGAGTGCGCTCGGTGCCGTTTTACACTTTTCTACGTGCAATGTTGAATTTAAAAGAATGTTAATTTATATTGTTTCCGAAGATTAACCATGTATATAGAGGTGTGTTATACGCAGTGGTACCATGTAATTTATATGGAAGGTTTTTTTATTTTAATGGCAATGTCCTGACATTCCTTTGGCAGTATTTAGTTTTTGTTTTTGGTACAGTATGATGCTGGAACAGAGAGTTAAGGGTTAAAATAAAGTGTCTCCCATGAAATTGTTTTTAAATAAATCGGACTTTTACAGCTGCTCAGTTTAAAATTAAAACTCATCAACTCCAAAAGGCAAAGTGCAATAGTGCAACGATTTGTGTTTGTAAAGGCCGAAGCAAAGCGTCAAACGTCACCACTCTTCCACAACTCACTCGTAAAGCGTCTGCTCCGCCACTCAAGAGGTGCCATACTCAATATTTATGTTTTCTCTCTGCCATTTCAGTGAAACTGTTAGAAAGAGACACAACTCTGGACAGTAGAAACATCAGCCCATCTGGGAACAAACGAAACTTTCAGGTTTTCTTTTAAAACATAATTCAGAGACAATATCTGTGATGACAGTCCACTGGTTTTTAATTTGCCTTGCCAACTCTGTTCTGGACCTGGACCACGCTTCGAGCCTCACAAAGGTTGTAAATAATCCGGGGTTCAAACACTGTCCCCGACAGCCGCTGCAGCACCCGTTTCGTTTCTTCCTCCTCCTTCACGAGGAGTGTCTGTGTATTATTCTGTTCATCTGAAGGTGTGTGAGCTCCATCACGTTAAATTTGTGCTTTTTTCTTTCTCTCTTTTGAGTTGTAACAAACTGGCAGTCAGATGGATGCTGTGTGTAAAGAAACGCCAGGAAGTGAACAAAACGTCCTGGTGTTCAGTCGCTTCTGCAGTTTCAGTGCAGATAAATCATAAAAGAGTATATTGTACAATAGAATGTTAAAAAAATCAAACTCTAGGCCACACAGTTGTTTATTTTCTCTGATAGATTGCATATGTATGTTACATGATTGGAAATTAAAGTCATTTTGTAACAGATTTAACAAGTGTCTTATTAGACAGGCGAGGTTATGGTTTTGGAGTACAGAGCCCCCCCCCCCCCCCATATTTATATAAAAATGAGTTTTAAACATGGTTTAAAAATTTAAATTTCACTCTGAATATTAATAATATTTAATTATCTTTAAATCAACTTTGATATTGTGAAATATTTACAATAAATCATTTTAAAGAAATTTTTTGTAATTCCTGAGCAAGTGTTTTGATTTTTAGGATCTCAGCAGTCGTTCGTTTATTGCGAGGGATGCGTACCATGAAGATCTGCGATAAGTGAAAAACCACGAAGTAGGAATATATATATATATATTATATATATCAAGGCGTTTTAAACCCTTCCCACACTCTTGCAATATTCTAAACAATGTTTCTAAACTCTAAATGCTCTAAAAGAGCACAGAATGTCATGATTTCAGTTCTCTGCCTCCTCTGCTCTTTGCCACCTGCAAGCGCTCTTGGCCACGCCCACTTCTCTGCTCTGCATGCAGATCAGCTGCAGCAGGAAGTTTATCCTGCAGTAAGGGCTGCACAAAGGCGCAGGAGGTACTAAATAATTTAAAACAATTTATTTTAAATAAAAATTCCATGCCTATCGTGCGGCTCATCCATCAATCACCCCATTGTGTGTCATTTCAGCTCTTTGAAAAACTGTGACAGAGTGAGTCCGCGATAAACGAACCACGAAGTAGCGAGGGACTACTGTAATTGCATTTAAGAACATAATTTCAGGACTTTTTTAAAGCCAAATTTATTTCCATAATTCAAACTGAATATACATGATTTGACTCAGTGCTTTGTTTATTAAAAAAAATACAAATGACATAACAGATGCTCTACAAATATATCAGGCATTAGCCTATTTTTAATTAAAAATTACTTAATTCATGTGATTTTTACTGATTAAAACCGGGTTCATTGTGTTTCCAGTGAAATGTCTGTCACTTTGTACACCTTGTTGATCAGGACTTCCACCTCATCTCCTCCTAAATGACAAAGGTCCAAGACGCACACCACGTGAGTGTCCTCCAGCTCTCGGGCGCTCGCCAAAACCTCCTCTGCAGGAAGAAAACCCTTCGTTTAATTTCAAGCACTATGGTTTGCATTCGTGTTTCTTTCTTCAGCTACCTGGTTCAGGAGGAGTGGCTTCTTCGGGACCGGTTCCACCTCTGAGCGGGCAGAAGAAGCCCGTCGAGAGGCAGGACAGCATCGTGTTGTCGTGCGGATGTTGAGGGAGACCGACGGCTCGGGGATCATCGGAGCGCGTGATGGGAAAAAACGCCACGTCGAGCGCTATCTTCTTGTTGATGCCTGCCAGAAAGATTCAAAACCCAGCATCAGGTTTACAGACACATCAAGGAGCAGATCCACCAGGGTTACAGCATTTGTGTTTTTAAGGTCACTCAGACCTCCGACTGTGTAAATTGGTTTTTGCCGACAGATCTTCACCTCGGTGACGCACTGATGACGTAAATGAAATAAAACATAAAGGTCAGTTATTTGTGTTTGTTCTCAGCCTGTCAGAACAAAAAGACATTTTTGTCCTGGTGAGACATCATCATGAAAAAGGACTCCGCTTCCATTATCAGTGTCAGACAGGCTGAAAAGAAGTGCGGATCAGACTGGTCCCTTCGTACCCAGTATGGTTAGCTGGTAGTATCCTGGGCAGGGAGCGGGAAGGAGGGTGTCAGCGGCCGACTCCGACGTCCATCGTGTTGGTTGAAGGTTACTCTGGCGCAGGAGAGCGCTCTTCTCGTCCAACGTGAAGCTGCGAGAGACGCTGTCCCCGTGCAGGCCGCCTTGGTGCAAATGTTCAGACAGTTCTTGTTGTTGCTTTGACCAGCTGCTGCTTTCCCAGGACGGAGCGTCGGAGTCTGGTGGGAAGACAAAGGAGTCATAGGGAGAGTGTGTACAACACACACACACACACAGAGGAGTGGAGCTCCATCAACTCACCTGGAGCTCGTCCCTCCTCCTGCTCTTGTCTTTCGTGTGTCTCTGTATGAATCCTTCTTTTCCTCCTGCTAGCTGAGCTGCCGTCAGAATAGGGAGACCATGGACTTCTTGTAACGTTCTGTTCAGCTGTTGAGGGATGACCATGTCGTTCTGATGTGACTCGTTCTCGCTCATCATTCGAAACCTGAAGAAAACCCATCCAACATATTTTTAGGTTTTAGTCAAGTCAGCTTTATTTATAAAGCACATTAAAACAGCAGCTGTTACCAAAGTGCTTAACCATCCTGAGATTTGTATCAGACTGCTTAATATAAGGCTGAAGAGTCAGTGTTAACAGGATCAGAGACAGCAGTAGAGCTAGGGCTAAACACAACGACTTCAGTCTTCTGATCATTAAAACTTAAAGTATGTGAAGCCATCCATGCCTTAATGTCATCAAGACATTTTAACAAAGGCTGAATGGTCAAGAACTGTGTAAGGTTTTACACATTTCACTTTATACAACTGGGTTGGATGAACAGCCTTGGCCACTCGTAGACTCTGCCATTGGCATATTTTTATTTATAAGGCCATACTAGGACTTCTTCCTTCATATTTGTTGGCCTTTATAAAGAGAAAGTCCACCGGAGGATACTCTCTTCTTTGTGAGAACTTATTTTTACTTTCAGTGCCTAAAGTCCAAACTGAACTTGGAAAGAAATCTTTTCAGTTTTCTGCTCCATCTTCTTGGAACCAGGTGCAGAAATACATGAACCTAAAGGAGTTGTTGCCACTAAATGTTTTTAAGGCTGTTCTTACTGATTTGGAGAAAGAATCATCTGTAAATGTTTTAAATGAGGAATCTTTTAATTTATTTATTTATGACAGAGTTAACTTTTTCTGTTTTTGCTGTGAATGTTCTATAACCACTCAGCCACAGCCGACCCCAGTATCCTTTAGAGCACTGGGTTGGGATTACAGGTGCAGCATTAGAATGGTTCAGTTCTTATCTGAGTGACAAATAAGGTTAGAAATGGTGTATCTATTTCAGTGCCTCTTTCCTGCGAGGTCCCACAGGGCTCAATTCTCGGACATCTTCTGTTTTCACTCTAGCTGCTCCCTTCAGGGTCTATCCTGATGAAACATGGTCTTTCATTTCATTGTTATGCTGATGATTGTCAGATTTTTCTGCCCTTGAAACCTAATAGTTCTTTTTTTATTATTTAACCTTTATTTCACCAGGAAAATCCCATTGAGATTAAAAATCTGTTTTGCAAGAGAATCCTGGCCAAGACTGACAGCAGCACACAGAGATTAGGGCAGTTGTCCTCCAGTGCAAGAGTTGGGGGTTCGATTCCACCAGCAGTCACATGCCGAAGTGTCCCAGGACAAGACACTGAACCCCTCATTGCCTCTGATGTGTGTCTCATTGGTGTATGAATGTGATAAAAGCACTGATTATTATTTGTATAGATCTCGTAGAGTGCTGTATGAATGGGCACAGATTGTGTTGTAAAGAGCTTTGAGTATATTGATAAGATAGAAAGGCACTATACAAGTACAGTCTACTTACCTTTACCATATTGTGGTCAACAGTATGAAAAGCAGCAGTAAGGTCCAGGAGTACAAGCATCACTAACTGACCAGGATCATTTGCTAACAGAATGTCGTTACAAACCCTCACTGAAGCCGTTTCTGTGCGGTGTAATTGTTTAAATTATTCGGTAAATTGTTTAGTTTGTGTTAAACCTTCACCAGTCTTTAAAAAAAAAAAAAAAAAAAAAAAGACACTTTGAAATGATGGCCGTTACCTCGTCCTCCTCCACTCCTGTTGTTTCTGTGGTTTGGGGGGAGGTGGTGTAGCGGACCGCGGTGATCTGTCCCTGAATTGCCAGACGTTTATGTTCTCTGTACTGCAGCGTCTCCAACTCTGTCTTGAGGTCAGCCGCAGCAACCAGAGGAGTTTGACCTTAAAGTGAGAAGGAAAAGATTTAAAACTGAAAATCTTCAATGACAGTTCTTTGTTAGGCTACGACATGTCAAAATAAAAGACACCCTAATTTTTCTGAATCTAATAAAAACGTTCTGAGGTGACCAACATACCTGTGCATCATTTTGTTTCTTACCTGCCCGATCTCTTGTCTGTGTAAATATCTGTGGTGGGTGAGGGTAACAGTAATGGCCGCCAACAGCAGTCTTCTGCAGAACGGCGTTGTCCTTCAGGGTCTTGGTCCACTGGATGAAGCTCTTCACTCTGGGGTCATTCGCATATGGCTGACCCTTGTGGTAGCCTGTGGACACGGAGTAATCTTAGGTTTTAAATCAGCGCCTCGACCGCAGTGTTAACTGACCGATGAAGCGGTAACAATCACCCGTGACAAAGATCTCTGTTTCGCAGCTGCTTGTGAGGTACGGCAACGAGCCTTCCGCCTGACAAACCCTCATCTGAGTGCACACCAGGTAAGACACTACAAGAACAAGATGCATTAGAAGAAAAATGACACATTTCTAAGTTAAGCAGCAGATATGGTATTTGTGTCTCACTTGGACAAATCTGACTGAATATTTCAGGCTGAGACGAAGAATAAAGCTCCAAGACAAAAGGCAGGTCCGACGTTCCATCCACTGCGTGCAGCCAGCGATAGGTCCAGTATTTCTCTGGCACTAAGAGGTGAACATGTGTAAACGGTAAGCATAAACGAGTGTAAAAAATCTATTCAGATGAAAGATAAAGCACAAACCTTTGTTCCCTTTGCTCCGGACTCTTTCAACACGGCCGACAAACATCACCAAACCAATGACGTCACATGCGGCGTTGTTGGCTAGTTGCTCTAACTCAGACCTGCAAGAGTCAGAAACAAACTGTGTTTTTTTATCTGACTTTAAAAAAAAACGATGGAACAATATGAAAAGAGCTGTGTCTAAATGTAAATGTGGCATCGCAGTAATAAAAAGTGGTGTTTCATCACCTGCTGGTGAACTGGTAGGAAACCTCGGGCAGCCCCCACTGAGGCAGGACGCTCTTCTGTGAGACCACGGTGATGACTGAAGCCGGGTTACGAGCGTTCAGGCAGATTTCTAAAGAAGAAACGTTCGAGAAGGCGAAAAATGTGTCACCTGAGGATTCACTACAGCTAGCTACATATAGCTTGTTTAACCAGATACGCTACAAGCAGAAGCCACTCCCTGACATCAGAACCCATATATGCATTTATATGCAGGAAGGATCTCTTGTAAAGGTCCATCCCACAGTGGATCCTAAGAAACTGGCTGCAGATGCTGTCTGATCCGTCCACCCAGACTCGGCTGGCCTCTCGGTTCCCCCGGGCTGTAGGGCCGCCCGAATGCCGAGCAGAACTCCTCCCAGAGCGATGGTCACTCCTCCCAGCAGTCTGCAGAGCTCCTCGTCGCTGCGGACAGCCAACTGTAGGTGCTGAGGGACGATCCTGTCCTTCTGCTGTCATGAGCCGTGTTTCCTGCTAGTTCCAGGATCTCAGTGGTCAGACACTCGAGCACAGCTGGCAGGTAGATGAGAATGCCCACAGAACATCCTTTTCAACTCATTTGAGAGTTGGTGCTGTAGTTGAGATATTATTTGAGCTTTGAGATGTTAATCAGCTGCTGTTGGTTGGAGAAAACTGCCTTGTTGCCATGGTTACACATAATAACAAATGTCCAAAACGTAAAAAGTTTCAGTAAAAATCCTTCCAGCTGCACAGCGTCTGATACCAGAGGAAACAATCATCCAAAAAAATGTGATTTACATCCAGAAAAACAGGAATTAAAGTTTCCAAAAGTAAAATCTCAGAATGAAAGTAACAGAGCTGTTCCAACATGCAGCCACCTTGAGCGGCACAATTCTAGAAATTTACACCAAAATGCTCAAAAAAAAAAAAAAAAAAAGAAGAAATGTCTTCTCTGTTTTCAGTAAAGTGTGTGAGCATGTTGCGACAGTGCAGATCTTATGACAGAAACAAGCAAACTGGTTGATAAAAAAGTGATGAACCCAAAGACGCAGATAACCGACATAGTTAGTGGAGCTGAAAGTGTTTGGTTTCAAAGAGTACTGAGTGTCACCAAATACCATTACAACTCTGGTATGATATACATCTGTACAGAGTAGTACAAGTACAATTGGTATGTTCTGTAGCTTCCAATGAGGAACCCTCTGGGCCTTTGATGCCTTCAGAGAAGGCCTAAAAATTCAGCACATGTAAAATGTTACATTTAAAGTTTTAACTTAATATTTATTTCGTATAAAATGTATATTTCAGTTTAATGTTCCTCATGCCAATTTCTCTTATTTTCTGTAAACTACTTAGCAGTTGAGCAAGATACTTTTTTTAATTCATGAAAATGCAGTTCTCCAATGAGATTCTTTCAAACTTACGTCTCCCGGCAGAAACACGTTTTACGGTTCTCTCTCATCCGTTAGGACTTCACTGTCAGGAGAGAAGGCTGAGCTCAGTCAGAGGCTCTGCAGGATGAGTGTGTTTAATAACTGACAGAAAAATTAACCAATCAGTGTTGATGTAGCGTGGGTGGGACCAAAACACAGGGCTCTGAGCCTTCAGGAAGGCCCTGCAGGAGTTTTGTAGCCCACATAAAAATTTGTGGATTATGAAACTGAAGGAAAAATGATGTAATCAGGCTGCAACGCTGTTGTGTCTTGTCATTAGTATTTATTAGAGCGCTACAATAACAGGAAGCCTATTGCTTATAGTTATGATTCGCCACTAGTAGCTTCATTTGATTGTTGCAAACTCTGAATTTAACCATAAGTTAGGATGATCATTTTGCTTAGACAGCACCGTCTTTGTCAGAATAAGATTTAATTTGATCAAAAAGTAGTTATCACAGCCCAGAGAGTATAAATATAGTCTGAGTTATCTCATTTTTGTCCCTGTATTAAAACTTTCTAAATGTAGTAGACTTTATATTCAAGGTTTAACGACACAAAAATAATTACGGACTACTTTCTTTCCCAGAGGGCATCATCTATGTATTACTAAGATTTTTTTTATTTTTAATCTTCTAACTTTTGTCAAATTAGGAGGGTTCGCAGGCAGAAGAGCACAAATAAGTTTTTTTTATTTTTTTTATTTACTTCTTCATTAATCGAACTGACCACAAATTTTAAAAAGCTGTCTTCCTCCATAACTATTAGTGAAGTAAATATGTTAAAAATAAATGTTACAATAACTAAGCAGTGCACCTCATTTTGAGTCTAAATGAACTGAAAGTATAAACAAAAATAAAAAAAAATTTTAAAAATCAAAGCATACTTCTAAGTAGGCCTGTCACAATAACAAATTTTGCTGGGCGATTAATTATCTCATACATTATTGTGATTAACAATAATATTGTTAAATTTGACAATGATTAGTAATTATTGTAGTGAGAGAGTGAATGTTTGTTTGTCTCGTTTGTCTCCATGTGGCCCTGTGATGGACTTGCGACCCATCCAGGGTGTACCCCGCCCCTCGCACAGTGATTGCTGGACATGGGCACCAGCGACCCCCGTGACCCAAAAATGGAATAAGCGGGTAAAGAAAATGGATGGATGGATAGTAATTATTGTCAAATTTAAGAAGAATTGTTTGTTAATTTTTGCATGTAGTACCTTTTTTGACCACTGGAAGGCAGTATAAGACTGTTTGAACCGAAGGATGGATAGTGAGGGAGCTAGCAGTGTGTCACTGTAAGAAAAATGGCAGTTGGGCCCCTTGACGTGACGTGGACTGTTGCTCGTTCCTGTTTTTCAGTTCTCAATATAGTGAACGCTCAGTGTGGTTTGAGCTCTTTCGCATAGCATTTTTCCCACAAAGCTTTTAATAAATAGAAAAAATCAGTAAACAAGTTTTCAGCTTCTTTTTGCAGAGAAAAACAACTTTTTAGATGAAGGCACAGGTTTCAACCGTGAATTTTGGAGCTTCGACAAGACGGAAGTTTTTTCCTGAGGTCGGCCTGTTAGCTTAGCTCGTAGCTTAGCTTCTCAGCTTAGCTGCGTTTAATGATCCAAAAACGCGATTTTGAACGGTTAAAATGGATTTTAAAGAGAAAAAAGAGAAAGGGAGGGGTCAGTGAAGAGCACCGGAGCTGAGTCTTTTGTCATCCAGTGTCTTCAGTAGAAAGAGAGAGACATGAAGAAACGTTAAAGCCGATAAATGAAAATGAGGTCAATAATTTTCATTAATCGTGTGATTAATTGGTTTATTGTTTATTGTGACAGGCCTACTTCTAAGACTAGTGTAAATCAGCGATTACTGGCCACTTTAAGCTGTGTGCAACGTTTGTTTTAACACAAAACTTAAGGATATGGGGGAGTGGTGGCGCAGAGGTTAGAAGATGGGCTTGTGATCGGAAAGTCGCAGGTTCAACTCCTGGTACCGCCAACATCAAAATGTGGGTGGAAAAGGTGAAACACCCACACCTCCCTCCATCCTCATTCGCCCCACTCTGGGCCCCTGAGCAAGGCCCTTAACCCCCACCATCTGCTCCCTAAACAGGTCTCTCTTGAAAATGAGACTCAATGAGACTACCTGGATAAATAAAGGGTAAATAAAAAAAAAAATTAAAAAAAGAAATGGTACAAACCAACAGAGGTAAAGTTCTTCAATCTGTGATGGTCCATTTGTGGGCGAGATCTGTTGGAATAACTCTGCTTCAGCGTGTAATTCTGCAGGTACAACACGGTGCCAACCTTCATTCTCTCGTAAAACTCGGGACAGAGCTCGTTCCAAAGCACGAGCGACATTGTGCCGCTCTGGTCAGCAACTTCAAAATACGCCTGAAATATAATAAAAACCAGCAAATGCGTTAAAAAGGTGCACAAGAAGAAGGTTAGGTAACAATTTTATCAGTGATACAAACTCACCTGATAGGGGTAATCAATCCTGAGCCCAAATTTTCCGTAGTATCTCAACCTGGACTTGTGAATTATCTTCACCAGGAGAGGTTTCAACGAGACTCTGAGCGAGGACTCCAGTCTACCCAGGAGAGTAACTTTAGACACTGAAATAAAAATAAAACGGATCCTTAGGAATTTAACAGCTTTATAGGCTGCCTAAGAGAATTTAATGCTGCTAAAAAAAGAAAAATATATAATTCAATTAACATTTACCAATCAAGGAAAAGATTATGGGTGTGTGGCGGGCAAATGTTTGCAAATATATTTTAGCTAATAGTTGTGTGAAATAAAAAACTGTGGTTGTGTAGTAAATAAACTGTTTTCCTTAATTAAACAATAAGACGTTCATCTAATAGTCTGATCAAAATTCATGTTAAAAGGTCAGTTTTCTAGATCTTAAAACCAGAATTAGTTTGATATCATTATCATCTTGTAAAAAAAATTGTTATGTGATTATTACCGAGTTTTGAATGTTTGGTGTCATTTATCTGGAGAAGCTTTTCGTTAGAAAACCAGTAAAAGAATTAAATGAAGACATTTATTGATTATAACCCAAGTCACTTATCAGATAAAGTATTATTAACATAGATTTAACTTTGCTTTGTTTTAGAATCTAACAGGACACAAATTAAGCAGTTTTAAGACAAGCTACTATATTAAATATTAGAAATATAGGGATAAATATACTGATGCTTATTACAGTTAAGAATGAATGCCATTTAGACATTTAAACATTTATCCTGTTTAATTTACACGTTTTAAAAACACAAATAAGTTCTGACATCCTGAAAATCCTGTCTTCAAAATACAAGTATCAGATCAGCAGGAACCTGGAACCTCACCGTCCAGAACCGGGTCAGAAGACGGAGACCCCGAGGTCCAGATGTCCCCCTCCGGGTCTTCGTTGTTCCACAGAGACAGGTAGTGCTTGCGGCCCACCTGCAGGGGAGCATCCCTCAGCAGCACCAGGCTCCTCTCCATGCCCTGCTTCACCAGCATGGGCAGCGAATCCACGTCATCACCGCGGGACAGGACAGTCGACCTCCCCGCCACACAGCTGAGCTCTTCAATACAGATGTAGCCATGGCCCAGTCTCCTCTCGTTGTAAACAAAGGAGCACTGCCTGACGCTGATGTCGCCCCCGGTCTTTAGCTTGTTTCTGTGCACCAGCTGGTTCAAACTGGGGTGAAGGAAACATTTGGCTCGCCAGTATCCGTCTGTGACCGTCACGTCGTAGATGTAGCTGTCAAGCTGCTGGCTGTCAGCCTGCTCAGACAAATATCTCTGGAGAGCAACGACAGCGACAGGAGCCGCCTCCTCGGCTGAGAGCTTCAGGCTCTGCGTGCACGATAAACGCGCCAACGTCCTTTGAAGAAACGACGGCTGACCAGTTACCACCGAAGAAGAAGAGCTATCCTCCATTAACTGTTTATTAGAAAAAACAGTTCCAGTTGCTCATTTTAGCTGATAAGTTACTTCTATTAGATTACGAAAACAGCGCATATAAATAATTAACTTACAAATAACTCTTCACTGTAAATATTAAATTATGAGAGGACTTTACTTGGTTAAGAGTTACCGTTGGCTACAAACTGCGGCGCTGTTTGATGGCGTCACCATATATTTTCATCTCGAAAACGAGTACAAATAGAAGTACTTTGTTTATAAAGCATACATGTAACGTTATAGTTCAAAATAACTCACCTCACTTTAATTTGATCCAAAAGTCAAATTTGAAATGCCCTCTTTAAAATCCGCGCAAAACTGCAGAGAACCCGTTTCGGGAACGTCATCAATGCGACAATTTGACGTTGTTTTGTAGTCCTTTTATAGCTTCTGCAGTAGTCACCTAATTGACCCCTTAAACTGGAAAATTAGTTGTTGTTTTTTTTATTTCTCTTTATTTTTGCATGTTATTTTACAGTTTAAATAGGTCAAAAAAGTGTTTTGTTTTGTTTTTTGGCTTAATCTTGAGGAAAGTCCCTTGTTAATTTTATGACATCTGAGAATTTTAATAATTATATCAATATAATATTTTACAAGAATGTGTATTTGTAAAAAAAAAAAAAAATTTTTAAAAGTATATGTAGATCATGTTTTCTTAATCATATTTGTGTATTTTACTCAGTTGACTGAACCACTTTGGTTGGCCTTGTCGCTGTTTTAAGTGCTCTATAAATAAAATGGTATGGTTTGGTATGGTAACCATAACTAACAATTTAAAAAGTACTGTATTTGATCATTGCACAGATTTTGAGGCAACAGTTTATAAAAATACATATTTGTATTTCACTGTTTGTCCTGCAACAAGATGTGACCTTCTTAACAAAGGCAGCATAGCACTCATGTATTTGTGGCTTAATGATTGCTAATAAATGCATTCTTGTGTTTGAGTGTTCATCTTTAGCACATAAATTAAGTCATATCAAAGTTATTTCCATAGCAACAACAATCATAACCAAACTACTGTGCAAATGATAAAATCAATAATTAGTGATGCAGCAATGTACAGTATTCATTAAATAATAAAACAACAAAAAAAAAAACCCTAAAATTTCACAATAATTGTCGATATTCTGTTAAACTAGAACTAAAAGCAATTTAGATGAAATGGGTTTTAGTGGATATTTAAAATGTTCAATAAATCATTCTATTTTGACATCTCTAGACTGGTTCCTTATACATTTTTAGAAAAAAAATCCATGTTAAATTGTTACAAAGCCCTTGTTTGATTAAGAAAATTATTATTAGACCATTATACACCCACATATTATTATTTGTACTCTAACTATTTTTTACTTCTTGCTCTCATTTGTTCATTCAACCTTTATTTATACAGGTTAATCCCATTGAGCCTCTGGGACTCATTTACAAAAGAGACCTGATTTTAACAAAGAGTGTTGACAACAGTAGACAATCATAAAAGGAAACATACAAATTGAAAAGAACAAATGAAAGAAAATGTTATTAAAAAAATGAAACAAAAAACAGCTAGGTTGTAAGGCGATGTAGAAAACTAAAAACAGGAACATCTGCATTGGTTTTTGCCAGGAACTTAACAGATGTTTAAAGCCACTTAGGGAGGTCAAGTTTAGCTTCAGATTTTTTTGTAAGATATTCCAGGAAACAGGAGCGGAGTAGGAGAAGGCCCTTTTGCCTAGTTCAGTCCTCACTGAGGGGACACTGCAGGTAATAATGTCCTGAGAGCGCACGCTGTAGCTGCACTCACGCAGAGACATGTAGGAGGAGATGTATGAAGGCAGCAGACCAAGAAGTGATTTAAAGATGAAAATGTACCAGTGAGAGAGTCTGCGTGAAGTTAATGATGACCAGTTAACCAGTGAATACAGGGCGCAATGGTGTGCTTGTAGGGGCGTTCATGTAGATAATGCCATCGTAGATGGAAGGAAAGTTGCAGTTACAAGGCATTTCCTAGCATTCAGAGTTAGACAGGATCTGTTTCTGAAAAGGAAACCCAGTTTAACTTTCAGTTTCTTTACTAGGTTTTCCACATGGAGCTTAAAAGAGAGATGCGAGTCAACCAAGATGCCCAAATATTTATAGGAATCGACAAACTCATTAGGGACACCATTTGAGAATAAAATCGAAGGAAGAACTGCAGGGACCGACTTCCTGTTTGAAAACAACAACCCTTTGGTTTGGTTGGTGTTTAGAACAAGTTGCTCAAGTTCATTGCTATTATAAAGTTTAATTAATTGAAAACAGCAATTATATTATGGCTTTTATTGTCTACTATGCTTTATTGAGCACTTTGGGTTACAATAGTGCTTTAAAAGTGGTAATTAAGTAAAGATGAGTGGGAAATTTGCCTAAATACTTGTGACCCTTGCCACCTGGAAAGGAAGAAGCAAGTAAAGATAATGGATGGATGGATGTTTTAATAAACAAAGACCATCCATCCATCCATTATTTTTACCCACTTCTTCCTTTTCGGGTCACGGGGGTCACTGGTGCCCATGTACAGCCATCACTGTGTGAGAAGCGGGGGACACCTTGGACAGGTCTCCAGTCCATCACAGGGACACATAGAGACAAACAACTATTCAGTCTCACTCAGGGACAATTTAGAGTCACCAATCAGCCTAACATGCATGTTTTTGGTCTGTGGGAGTAAACCAGAGTACCTGGAGAAAACCCACGCATGCACGGCGAGAACATGCAAACTCCACCCAGAAGGATCCCCGGCACTGGGGGTTTGAACTGGGGCGATCTGCTCGCCGAGAGGTGGCAGCTCTACCACTTCACCACTATGCTGCCCACCAGGGAATCCCCCTTTATAAAGGAAAATATACCAGTTATGTGGCAAAATGAATTAAATGATGTGTATTATGACAAATTTATTAAATATTAAGATGTTTTTTCCCCTATTTTTTTTAACTTGTAGGATATTCATACAGACACTTTAAAATAAAGTGCTTGAATCGCACTTAAATAAAGACTTGCAGTCTGACACAAGGATTACAATCTTGTGTTAACGGTGTTAGGAATAAAAGGCAATTGTCCTCTTGTTTTCAGAAAAAAGATTGAGACATGTTAAATAAAATAAATGTAACAAAATTACAATTTTATAATAACAATAATAAATAGATAATTTGTATTTCTTGCAAAAATGCAATGTGAATGCTTATTGCTGAAGAACTACTGAACAGCAGCTGAAATTAGCTAAAAACATGTATCTGAAAAGGAAGAACAAGCCGAAGTTAGCAGAAGAAAGCAGAAGTGGAAATTATATTTAAAAAGCTGAAATTTCCCCAAAACAGCTGAATAGTAGCTAAAGAAATGTAGAAAGAAGCTTAAAATTACAAAAGGAAGTGAAGCGAGCTTAATTGTGCCCACTAAGGCTAAAAGAGGCAGAAATTAGCACAATAAAGTTAAAATTATCTGCAAAAACCTGAAAATTTGCCAAAAACAGCTGAATAGCAGCTAAAACAAGCAGAAAGAAGCTTAAATTACCAGAAGGAAGTGGGTAGAGCATGCTTTTGCTGAATTAGGCTGCAAAAAGTTGAAATGATGGCTAAAAATGTGGACTTAGCTGAAAAAGCTGAAATTAGTATAAAAACAGCTAAATATTAGCTGAAATATCAGAAATTGCTGAATTTAGCAGAATTAAGCTGAAAGGAACATAAGAAGAAGGAATTAGCAGAAGCGCAAAAATGTTGGACTTATAGCTGAATCAGAATCAAGCTGAAAGGAGCACAAAACAGTTGAAAAAGCAGCTGAAATTAGCTGAGTTTTTTAAATTTATTATTATTATTTTGCACAAGGAATCTGCAGAAGCTTAACGGGATCAAAATGTGAAAATAGTGTAAACGTTTGTAAACAGACCAAAAGTTATGAAGGATGTAAAATGAGCTCATTTCATTTTCAATGAGGGAAAAAATGGCAGAAAAGGCAAAATATCTCAAAAAGCTAAAGTTGCACCAACATCAAAAGTCTTTAGCTCCTCTCTTCTGAATGAGCTGAACGTTTTAATATATGATTAGTTGAAATACAAAAACGTACGGAATAAACATAGTTGGAAGAATAATAAATATAAACAGGATCACTATAGCTACACAATAATAAATCAGAAACTTTCAGCAGAAAGTTTTAGTTTTGCTTCGGACGACTTGGAGTACGTTGTCTCTTTAAAAACTACAATCCCAGAATGCCTTGCGCGTTTGGCAACAATTCTTGTCGACGTGGGGAAACGAAGGGAGGGATTCGGACACAAGCACGCGACCGTCTTCGGTTTTTCTGCGGTTGTTGGGGCTTGTGTTACAGATGTCCGCGACATGTCAGGTGTGTCTGTCGGAGAGCCTCGTCACGTTTGAAACATGTGGCTCAAACCGGAAGAATTCCTGCTGAAAAACGCGTTCAAGCTGTGGGTCACCGAGAAGGATAACGAGTACTTCGTGCTGCAGAGGAGACGCGGGTACGGAGAAGGTGGCGGCGGCTTGACAGGTAACGTTAGGCGGGCGGTTATCACCCCCTTCTTGTTCAGACAACTATTTAAACTATTTAAACACCACTTATTTACGGTTCGACTTATATTAATGGTTTATAACTGTTGTGCCTTGTGCCATATGGGAGAGGGGCTGCAACAATAACCTCTTTGCAACAGGTGAAAATAGTTAGCGTCTTTTTAGCTAGTTTCAATACATTTACCTGTCGGAGGATTGTCATAGCGTTTGTTGTGTATCATTGTTGACTTAAAGGGCGTTACAGTAATGTCATCTTATCTCCCGCCCTAGTTACTCCCCTTTTCCTTTTTTTTTTAACCAATGTGGTGTAAACAAACTATTGTCACATTTACAGACTGGATCAAAACACAGGCTGACTTGGAAAAAGATGTTCACAGTTTGTGTCCTTTCTGCTCAAAATAGTTTAATATTTTTTGTCAAAAACTGGTAATCAAACTGGAAGATGCAACCCTGCAACAATAAAGGGCTGATCTTTTATAATAATAATATTATTAATAATAATAATAATTTGGGGTGTACTGATAAATCGAGACTGATTTCCTTAATTTTGGGAGATGACAGAGAAACTGATTTTTACCAATTTTTTTTTGTAGTTTCTTTTTAACAATTGTCTGAACTTCATTTATATTTCAGATCACTACCTCATGGCCAGTTAAAACAAGTGTGTATTGTTTCTAGGATATTGTTCAAGGGTATGTTTTTCTATAAGACTGGAAAATTGAAAGTGCATTATGACCTTAGTGTCGCTTATTAAACAAAATCTGTGTCGGCCAAAATCAGAATTGGCAGGTCAGGTTTTTTAGAGATGGGTGATCACCCAGAAAACTGCAATCAGTTCACCCCTAATAATAATAATAATAATAATAATAATAATAATAATAATAATAATAAAAGCTTCGCTACATTCAGGTCACATCTTTACCCAAAGAGAGGACAATTAGACCTGCTTACAGCAAAAAACAAGCTAACAAAAAACACTATTGTAGATTTTCTTTAAATAAAATGAACCTAAAACTCTACACTAAAGTGGATTGGGATTTAATTTTTAAAAAAATTTTTTAGTTTCTCCCATAAATGTTCAACCGAAGCAAAAAGAGAACCCTTCCATTGTCAAGGTACAACTGAGACACATTTTGCTGGTCTGTTTCACATTTTGCAGCAGAAACATTTGGTTAAGATAGATACTTTATTAATCCCAGGGGGGGATTTTAAGCATGTTCTAATTATACAGAAAAAAAAACCCATATGAAATAATCAAAAAACAAGCAGCAATTCTGCATCTCAGATTTTCTAAACCTGCTGACAAACCTGCATGCTTGTTCTTTATCTTTGATCCTCGAGGCTGTAAAGTAAACAGTGTGCACGTTGGAAGTCCGTGCATGCAGGAGTTTGACTGTAACAAGAGTGGAGCTTGCAAGGGCAGCTAGGGATTGTTAGTCACACTTTCTAACCACCTACCGAACTGTGACTGCTGTAAGGATCACTGGATAATTAATGATAATGAGTGGTTTCAAATCTGAAGCTAAAATTACAGCTGCCTCGCACAGCTGCTTTAATTGTGGAGTTTAAATACCACATGATGGATCTCGGTGGAGGAGTTTTCCATGTTTAAAGCATCTTTTTGTCCCCTCTCTCAGAGTAAAGGGGGGGGAATTGTTTGTTTGTCCGGTTCATCTTGTGAGCTGGATAACTCAAAAACCTCGAAGCACTTGGAGTGCGCACACCTACGCCAAGACCTTATACGGTCACTCACACTGTAACGTGCACAGACAGACACGCTGGGTTTGGCTGGTGATCCAGATCACCACCACAATTTAATAATTTGTTCTTTGTGACAGCCTCAACATTTCCTGAATTTTTTTATGAAAATCCTTTCATAATTTTTCGAGTAATCTTGTGCACAGACGGATGAGCCAATTCTACAGAAAATATAACCTCCTTGACAGAGATAATAAGCACCTTCCATTTTGGTATGCGGCTGCATCTAGGTGTAAGAAAGGTCACTATCCAAAATTGGGCTGCCATGTCCAAGATGGCCGTCACCATATAAATATATGTAAACCAGCCACTCCAATCATTTAATGCTTAAATTTTTTGGGTTCAGGTACCCCCTCATAACCCTCATGTTTATTAAATAATTTTCTTCAATTTGTCTCTTTAATGCAATGGAAATATTTGTGTAACATAAATACTTAAGACCTGTTCTTTAATAGTGTCGATACAGTTTTTATACTTTTAAACATGGGGTATCTTTTTCATTCAAGACTCACTTAATTGACAACATTTTTAATTTCAACTTCCAAAAATTACAGTTTTGAGAAAATGAACAGCATCAAAAACCACTTTAAAAATGTACCTATTCACATAATGAACATAATAAATGTTGCCACTTCTTCAAATTATTACACAAAACTCTATATAAAACTGAACAGAATCAAAACAGCAGTAGTCATGCCAAGTAACAGCTTCATTTGTAAACGGATCAATGCCAGAACAAATAATTGGATGGCTGGGGGGTCTGGGTGTCCTCCCGCAGAAATTTTTTAATAAAGTAGATGTGATTTCCTTCATTTTTGGTGTATTTTAAATGGTTGTTAAAAATCTATGTACTTGTAAAAAGAAAAAAAAAATCATTATTATTTAATTTTTTTGCGGACCCCCGGGTGTCCGGGGACCCCAATTTGAGAACCACTTTAAGGAACCTATGCTTTCTAGTGTTTATATTTTTTAATAGAATACTGGTAGTTTACTCAAATGATTGTGGTAGTTGTTGGGGTGGCTGAATATTAATTTATGGTGATCATGGCCACCATTGATCACCCTGTGGCTCCTCCTGGTAGGAGATAAAATGTCTCCCTTCACTCAAGTCACTCTGTGCTGCCTCAGACAAAAAAACCTACCGGTACCTCTGTTCTTCTCCACAGTGTAACTCCTAACCATTTGAACATCTTGCACCAAAAACATTAAGGCTCACTTGCATTCCCTGTTCAATTAGAAAAACACTCATCTTGGAAACATCAAACATTCACTCTTCATATCCCTCAGCGATGGGGGACATTGACGTACGGCTTGTATTAGTCTCTCCTCTCCTGCACCGCCTTTCTCCGAGTTGAACGCATTGATTGTGTCGACCGTGTTGGATGCACTGATTGCGTTACACTTTCAGAACATATGGAGAACTCTGATACAGATGCTGTGCTTTAGATGGTTTCAGCACCACCCTGTTAATAATTCATGGAGGGCTCGCCAGCGAGACGGTGTAAAGGTAACAGGTTTTGCTAAATTTAGTTCTGGGGCATCATTTTATTCCTGCTGTCAGGATGGATTTAAAATCACTGACCCAAGTTGAAATGCACAGTAAAAGACTCCTACTAATGGGGACTGCATTGCTTAAATTATTTATCATTAATAGAGAAGCTCAAACACAAAGATGCATTTTAGATCACCTTTAAATGTGTTTATTACAGCCTTTTAATGGTTATTATAAACCAACTGTTCAAAGATTTTTCGTGGCTACGTGTTATTTCTTTGTATCAGTTTTGATGGGGAGAAATGTTCATTCATGAATCTGCTGTGATTTAAAGGCCTTCTTGTGGGAACTCTTGATACCGTGTTGGACTCCACATCCAAAGTCGCCCCCTTTCGTATTCTACACTACACACCTGACTCGCAGGTGTACTGGTCAATAGCATGTGGTACGTTTTCACACCATTCTGTCATTTCAGTTGTCCTGTCTGCTGATTTACTGTACTGATATCATCCAGCTCTAGGTCTTTGTTAACTTTAGATATAAAAGGAAAAATATTTATATTTTATTGTTGCTCCGGGGTTAGGTGTCACCAGAGAGGAGATAGTGCAGCACTGGGACTGGCTGCAGCAGAACATCATGAGGACGCTCTCTGTTTTCGACTCCAGTGAAGACATCACCAGCTTTGTCCAGGGGAAGATTAGAGTAAGGAGTTTTAAGACAGATAATCTTATGCTGCGGCAACGTGCTGACCTCCTAGATTGGTTTCCAGTCCTGCAAGTTCAGCCGTATGTGTAGTTCAGGTGCCTACCAGTCGTGTTGTGTTTCAGGGCCTGATCGCAGAAGAAGGGAAGACATCCCTGGTGCTGGAGGATGATCCGGAGAAGTTCAGAGAAGCACTTCTGCGTTTTGAAAAGTGGTTCGACCTGCCCCCCCAGGAGAAGCTGGTCACGTATTACTCGTGCAGCTACTGGAAAGGCAAAGTTCCCTGCCAGGGCTGGCTCTACCTCAGCACCAACTTCCTGTGCTTCTACTCGTACCTTCTGGGATCTGAAGGTAAGCGGCTGAAACGTGCTTGTCAAATGTTTTTCACGCGACAGTGTGATAACTGCAGCTAACAGCCAATATTCATGGACCTACGATGGAGGTTTTTATATTTTTACAAGTAGGAAAGGTTCTTGGTAGTTGCAGTCGTAACTGACCGTTCAGTGGAGAAGCTCTGGGTGAATTTTGGTCACAGAGTTACATTTTAAGACATTTTATAATGATGATATGTGCTGTTTCATGCCCCTCCCCCCTGACTCTACAGTGAAGCTGGTCATCTCCTGGGATGAGATCTGGAGGCTGGAGAAAACATCTAATGTTATTCTGACAGAGAGTATCCACGTTCTGGCTCACGGAGAGGATCACTACTTCTCCATGTTACTGCACCTCAACGAAACGTTTGTTATCATGGAGCAGCTGGCTGACTACGCCATCAAGCGTCTTTTCGATAAAGAGGCCTTCCAGAGAGAGCCTGCACTCTCAGACCCCCTGCAAATTACCAAGAGGTACAGGCTGAACCTTTGTGAAGAACTTTCCCCAAAATGCACTCGTTATCTACAAATGATAATTTGTTTCTGATGTTGCTTCTGATTTAATGTTAAACCAAATTTAAATATTTTCAAGTGGGATTCTATGGAAAGTGAATAATAAGTACCGTAATTTCCAGACTATTGAGCACACCCGAATATAAGCCACACCCACTAAAAAAAATAATTAATAAATTAATAATAATAATTTGGTATATATATATATATATATATATATATATATACATACATA